CATGTGCAAACTGCTGATCCTAGAAATAATTCTAGATCAATGGACTTCTTGGCAATTTCTGGTTTTTGCCTATTAGCTTCTGCACAGCAACACTTCTGGCTTGACTTTATTTAGCTCTAGGCAAAACCAAAAAGTATGTACATCCCTGACAAACAGCAGTCTCATTCAAAAAGTCATGAAGGGCCAGATTTAGTTCAGCACAAAACACAAGCACTGTTTGCCTGAGCCAACTGCAATTTATGAGTGCAACTGCACAACTGCCTATGTATATCTACATACATCAGGTAACCCATTTTCTGCTGGGACTACAATCTTTCCAGCCCACTCCCGACCTAGTCATGCTCCTGCTTAGCCTTTCTGGCCTGCTGAATGTTTGAATTCACTTCTGACAAAGTGGTGCAGTTTTCAACTGTACTGGAATATATTTCTTACCCAGCCCAGGAAAGAATATAACCTTGAACAAGGGCATTTTTACTGAAGAGGTGAAAGAACATTACAGTCAATCTTTCACACTTTGCACAACTATGATGCCTTTTTAACAAATGGAAAAGACAATAGCTCTTTCCTCCAGCCATAATTTTAGTAACAGTGCTGACAGCTATTGCTGACATGCATTTCACATTCCCATGAAAGCTATTCCCTTTTTCACCCCCTTCCAAAGCTCTTATTTAAGATGGAAATTCCTTTTTATAAATCCTGAGAGACTAAACTTTTCCCCAAAGAGCTGCATTATTTTCTGTTAGATTATTTACTATCAAGTAAAGATAAAGTCCTCTTGCCTGCTGAAATACGAGGCTAATCAATTCAGCCATAGCCTGCTACTGCCCACCAGTGGTTCATAATGGCTGATAAGTGGCTGAAAAATCTATACTTAACACCATGAAAAACTAGGAGTAAACCCCATGGTAAATCATACCACTAGTTTACATGTGGTCATTCATATACAAGCATTCAGAATCCTTTGATTTTATTGTAGTAGTTAGGTCATTGGCAATTTATTTTATGATATATGCAGCTTTTGAATGGAAGGAAAGTTCATTTTACAGATAAGTAGAGGGGTTAATTTGATCAAGGTCACATAGAAAGTCCATTTCTGAGCTGGAAAGAGAACGAAGATCTGGGTGTCCATTCTGCTTTCACATGAGACATGGAGAATGTTTTATCTGAAACCGTCTTTTCCTTTTGCATATACAAGTACTTAAATATCTGAGCCATATAGGGTGCTCTTTTGCCATTATGCTGAGCTCAGAAGAACTCTGAAGCTTATTATTTTACAGATGAGATTAGATCCAAGTCACTAATCCAGATAATCACAATAATCTTTGGTGGAGTTTGGAGCTATATCGTAACCAAGAGCAAAAGTGTACAATAAGCAAAAAGCTCTGACAAAATGAGCTAGAACTGGAGTTCAGATTTTGGAGACACTGAAATGACTGATGCACACTTTTAATACTGTACATTGTTAGCTCATTGGACTATAACTCAGCTCCACCCCTGGATCACATTGCATGTTCTGAACAAAAAGAAACTGGAGAATACAGGGAAGGCATATTCAGATACAAATTTAAATACCCTAGATAAGCCTGATACAAAGCCCCGTGGGACAACTGACAAATCAAGTGGCAAATGGTACTAACACTAGAAGATTCATGTAACTTTTCCTGGAAAAACACACTTGCTTTTACTGGCAGTTGTTCACTGTCTTCCTCTTTCCTTTGAAACAAAACCAGATTCTACTATTCTGTGTAATCCCAGGATTCATCTTAGCATGTAGTAATGGGTGAAGGGAACACCAGGGTTGTTACTGCTTTAAGGAAATCCTACATTTTGCTTCTAGATTTTTTTTTCACCTGGAGCTTATTAGCTCATGCACTTCGGTTCTCTCCAATAACCAGCTCTCAAAAACATGCAGGACTTTATGGATCAGAGCCATAACAGAAATTAAAAAGGAGTGTATGCAGACAGTTAAGAGTACATTTTAAGACCTTCAGCCCACTAGTAACTAATCAGAAAAATGGATCCATACTTACTAGGAATTTCTAAGTAACCTTCAAACGTTGAATCCTCACATTGAGCAGATTGCACGTCAGCAGCATCCAGAAGATTTTCCTTGAACAAAATAAAATCAGAAATATAATGAACAAGCACCAGAGCTAGGACAAAATCTAGCTCAAGTATGATCTAATCCTGCTGCAATACAACATCCAATTGCAATATGTACTTTGAAATGATTTATCCAAGAGATGGCAGTAGTTAGGGTCCATCAAGCTCCTTGTTGCTAGGCCACCCATAGTTATGCTAACGTTGACTTCACTGGCATAGAATTATCTGTTTACCATATTTATATCAAATTGAGTATTGTGGTTTAAATGCTTAGTAAACCTTCACAATAAAGGATCCAGGGGCACTTAAATGATTTAAGTGCCCAACCATCTTTGCAGTCTATCCCAAGACATCTGAAGAATTATTCAGTAGAAAACATGTCTAAGTACTGCCAAATCAATCTGCATGGTTTTAACAGGGATTAATCTCTCATTAATCTTCTATATATGTTAGAATTTTCATAAGTATACTATGTTTATGCTGGCACCAAGCCTTAATCACACCATGGTGAAGCTGAGTTCTACTGTCCCAGCTAATTTTAGGCAGAACAACTTGAATACAAGCCACAAAACAATAAACGGGAGAGATGAATACAACTCACTGCAAAAACCTTTTTCGTCACCCTGATCTTTGAAACCTCATTGTCAATTGCCATCACAATACAGCTTGCTATGATTATCCCAGACTGGCATGATGAGATTCGCATAACCATGTAAGTTAATAATTTATTCCCATCCACCTCATTTGAAGATCAAACTTCAAAGTTAATGAGTTTGCCCATTTTCAGTGTTCTGAAGCTGGCACATGTTGAAAGCCACGAAGCCAGGAATACACTCTTTGCTTTCAAGACTTTCCTGCAGCCAGTACACGTAAGAAAACTTGGGTCAGATTTTAGTATGCTAAGTCCCAAGTAACTCATGTAAATTGTGAGAGATTAAAAAGACAGACCCTTGTTCAAGCAGTGACATTCCAGGAGACCTCAGAGAAGAGCAGCTCTTTATGCTGTCAGCACTACACCAATGTAGAGACACCATCAAACTCATAAATAGTGACCACTTGTGGTTCTTACTTAACTGACAGATCTGTAGGGCTGATCTGAACAGCACCCTAGAGATTCATGTCCAGTGAAAAGAAATGTTAAGGAAGGAGAAAATGGGACAGAAACGGAGCAACAAGCTTTGATGTGAAATTCAGGGCCCAGCTACTCACTGCTCCCATGGTGAGAAGGTTTGGAGTTGGCCTGACTTCTGAGAGACACCAAAGAATCACAATGGGGGAAGGCAAATTGTGAGATAACTGACAAGAAAAGCACATCAGAGAATCTTCCTGATGACTGGGGACTCACTGCAGAAATACCTCTCTGCTTTGTAAGGTTCAGAAAAGCTGCTGAAGTAAGTTTGGTGGAGAAATTACACTTAACCTGCAGAATGTCACTACTCTGAGTTACTTTTCCAAGGGTTAAGAAGATATACTGGATTCCAATGAGGAAATTAATCGGTAACATTAACTTCATTTAAATATAAAACCACTAACTTCAGATACCTTAGCAGTTCTTAAATGAAAGAGCAGGTTCTTGGGGAGCATGCAGAACACAACTAGAAAAATAGAAAAGCTTTCTTTGAATCCTCAGAATGAAAGGTCATTTCCCAGTTGTTAGATTTTATAGATCAATGTCTAAAATAATGTTGATAGCTCACATTATTCCAGGCCTCAATTTCCTACAGGATACAGCAGACACTGCACTACAACCACTGCCAGAAAGAACCTTTCTGCAAAGACTGTAAAGAGAGTTATCAATTCTGTTATGTAACAATAAACTGGATTAACTATAACTAGATACCAGGTATTTTTGTTAATATATATATATACTAAACAGAAGAAATGGACTGACAAGGGTAACTACAAAGGTCAAAACACACCCCAATGCAACAAAAAGAGATAATCTGACTCCTAAAAAAAACCCCAGTTTGCCAATTTCCTGAGTTGGACTCAATGATCTTTGAGGTCTCTTCCAGCCCGGTTGATTCTGTGATTCTGTGAACTGGGACAGCTGTAGTTGGAACACAAGGTATTCACAAGCACAACAGACTAGCTTGCACCAAATGCCATATTTCAAAAGACCAAAGGGTCTGGAAAAGTTAATTTTAACTCTAATGCACCATGTTTTGCTTGCAAGTATTTCC